AACACATTATCTTATGAATAGCGCGCTCTGCGAGTGGGTGTGAACAAATTAACGATAATGAGCTGAAACAGGAGAAACTGTACTTCTCTTTAGTTTCAGACAGATTACATTGCAGGAGAATATTTGTTTTAAATGTGAATTGTTTTATTTAAAAGTAGAAATTTAAAGCGTTCTTTAGACGTATGTTGCATGTTTGTGTGATAAGTATTAGCGGAGTTTCCGTTCATTTTCCAGACATGTTTCAGAAAGATTTTTGCGGAGACAGAGTGAGCTGAAAGCGCGGCCTGTTTATTTTATTTATTAAAAAAAAAAACACAAGGTTTTGATGTTAATGTGAGTGTACACAAAAAAAGAAGACCCTCTATAGTTTATAATCATGTATTGATTTTATTTATATGACCATAAATGACGGAGTATTTTAAGTCTATGTTGCTGCTATGTGAAAAAAACCCCAGCAAAACGCGCCGGCGTGTTCTTGGTCCCCAGAGGGTTAAAGAGTTTAGCTCTTACGATCTGAAATTTCGTTGGTGTGGCCCATTGTGACAAATATGCTTATATCTTGTGTCTCAAAACGTTATACGTATGGAGAAGTCATAAATGCACAGAACCAGTTCGTTTGTAGAACTATTATATCCACTAACATTGAAGTTTTATATAATTTACAAAGAAAGTTGTGAAATGGCAATAGATCATTACATTTTAATACTTAAAAAAAATTAACTTTAATATATTCAAATAATTTTAAGTTTTAAGTTTCCTGACATGATTTAATGTATTGGTGTCCATTTAAATTGAAGAGACTATTTCATGTTATATTATATATTTTTATAAAGACACTTGTATTTAATGTTGTGATATAAATAATAAATCAAACACTTGTGTACATACTAATTTGCAAGTGTAAGCCCGACTCAATCGATCCAATGGCCGCATTCAATCAGCGGGTGAAGGTCTCTGCGTGTTACTGTCTTTCCGCGTGGCAAAGTAATTTGATTAAATGAAATAATTTTTTTCATGTACTAACTCGTTATTTCATCTGACTCCATAAATGAAAAGGTTTTAATGATATCTGTGCATCATTAAATGTAAGTGACATTTTCAGTAAAGAGTTACAAAGAATAGTCAAACATTCAGAGTCCGTTAGAATAAAATCAGATGTTTACAATTTATTATGTCAGGTAAATGTTTCATGCCAATTTCATAATCAGTTAAAAAATCAGTTAAAAGATAATCAATACAATAACATCAAATGAGTAAAAGATGCTGCATTTCATTATATAGACAGAAACATTTGCTAACAATAGCAATTTGCATTCAGAGTTTACACCTCTTGGGGGCAGAGTGCCATTTGCCTGCAAGACACACCCTCCTTTGTGTAACGGTGGCTGTTTCAGAGGAACGAGAGTGGGATCCATATGCAGCAAACATTTATTCAAACAAACATAATAAAAGTAAATCCAGGCAAACCTGATAAATGCAGACACGTGCAAGGAAGGCAAACAAAACTGACAACAAGCGCGCACACACATACCATTCATAGAAGGACAACACCAAACAAAGAACATGAGAAACACTTGGGTATTGAGAGTGAGGAGTCACGTGCCGATTTGGGCGGGGTCTGAGCCGGTCGGCCATGATGGTAGGAGACGCTATCGGTTGCCAGGGGCAACGCCTTCAGAACTTCACAGAGGCGCGACTAAACATTCCAGAAATAGCGAAAGAGAGACAGCGCAGCTTAGTATTTGTTTACATTTTACAGTTTACCGATATGCCACAGTTTCTTTGGAAGATATGGAGAAGGAAGAGAAATGAAAGGGGTTCTATCGGGAGAGACTAAATAACAATGCTAGCCAGCTTAGAGAAACTGCTTGTCAATAAACTGACAGCAGCAACAGCGAGCAAAGCCTGCTTTCAAAAGCAACACATTTCAGCACAGTTCACCTTTTATTTAACACAAACGAACGAAATTAATACTCTGTTATTTAACTAGAATTGTTTCATTTGTTATAGATATATCTGTACCGCGAAATGTTTTAAAAAGACACTTTTTTTAATGACGTACGATTCGCATTGACAGGGGAATGTCTGATCTGTTCGCTTAACGTTGCACGGCAGGTGCAAATGCACGTATCTGATTCATATCAGATTTATTTCCACATATGAATGAGGCCTGAATGAAACATCAAGTATGACTGAACTCTCGCAGTTTAACGCAGGTTTGGGGGTTTCTAAGTCTTGCACCCAGCCGCAACAGACTTGTTCAGCTTCTAATGACTTAAAGCTTCTGAATCTGAACTCTTGCATTGTGTAGGCAGTAACGTTAGTCACTGATACCATAAACAAACCAGGTAATTAACTATGTCAGCGTATGTTAAAGGTGGTAGTGCTTTGGGTCTTTCGTCCATTCTGTAGCAGGTCGTACGGGTCCATGTTGATGTCAAGTAGTTTCTCTAAATACTTGTTGTTATTTAGTCTCTCCCGATAGAGCCCCTTTCCTTTTGCTTCCCCCTTCTTCATTTATTTCCAAGAAACTGTGCCTTATCGCAAAAATGCAAACAAATATCAAGCTGCTCTCTCTCTCTGTCGCTATTTCTCTCGGTCTCACGGTCGAAGTAACCATTACAACGGATAGCGTATCCTACCAAGATGGCGAATCCTTCCCACAATGCAACGCGGAGTGATACGCGTGACGTCACCTTCTCATTCTCAATATATACACTCAAGGGGAGATTGGCGAACAAGACACACCTGGGAACAATCATGAGACAATTAACATTTGACAAGACACATGGCCAGCAGCCATATCAGCAGCCATATCACCCTGTAGCCCAAGACTGGTTGCCCACTGAAGCTAAGCAGGGCTGAGCCTGGTTAGTACCTGGATGGGAGACCTTCTGCGAAAACCAGGTTGCTGCTGGAAGAGGTGTTAGTGAGGCCAGCAGGGGGCGCTCACCCTGTGGTCTGTGTGGGTCCTAACGCCCCAGTATAGTAATGGGGACACTATACTGTCAAAGAGCACCGTCCTTCGAATGAGACGTTAAACCGAGGCCCTGACTCTCTGTGGTCACAAAAAATCCCAGGATGTCTTTCGAAAGAGTAGGGGTGTAACCCGGGCATCCTGGCCAAATTTGCCCAGTGGCCTCTGTCCATCATGGCCTCCTAATCATCCCCATATACTGTGTATATATATATATATATACCAATTGGCTTCATCACTATGTCTCCTCTCCACCAGTAAGCTGGTGTGTGGTGGGCGTTCTGGCGCAATATGGCTGCCGTCGCATCATCCAGGTGGATGCTGCACATTGGTGGTGGTTGAGGAGATTCCCCCGTCTATGTAAAGCGCTTTGAGTGGTGAGAAAAGCACTATATAAATGTAATGAATTATTATTTTTATTATGGCAGGCTCACATGACAAACAGGGAATTACATGACAGACAAGAACAAGGAACAAGACAAAACCCACACTGTGACACTGTTGATGCGTCCCAATTCACCTACTTATACTACGCCCTAAAAGTACGTACTCTTTTTGTGAAGAAAAAGTACATACTTTTGAGTGTGTAGCAAAAGAGTAGGCAAGCTTTGGGACATACTACTTCGTCATCTTTAACGGACAGATCTGTCGCGTGCATCCTATCACTGTAAACTGCCCTGTAAATCATCTTGTCACAGTTAAAATCCTCCATTCAATCTAATTTAATTTCCTACCGTTTCGGAGAGAAATGTTGTAGCACGTTCACCTGCCAGTCGTGGGTCTTTCATGCGGAGACTCTCCTCATGTGTTTGCAATTTGAATGTAATGATGCATTTAAAAGTTCATGGCTAAACGTATCTTTACAAAAGTTCACAATGCTGCTGCAGATGCAATATAATGTAGACAACATTGAATAAATAAATTTTCGTCAGGTTAGATACTGATAATTAATCAGTCAAACCCCTTTATCTAAACCTCTCTACATAATCGCCGGACTCGCGCGTCCTCCATGTCTGTAGTGTTTTAACACTTTTCACTCGTGTTTGTAGTTCTAATCGAATCCTTGTCCAACGCGCGATGGGTTGTGGGCAATATTAGCCGTCAGAGTGTGCATCGATCTGCACTTCGGATTCTGACCGGAAATAGTAGACCATCCGGGTATCTTTGGAACACTCATTTCAACATACTACGATTTGGGACGTACTAATTCTATTTTCGAATACTATTTAGGACGGATAGTATGCGAATTGGGACGCAGCATTTGTGTACAGGTTATCCCTAAAACTCTTAATAATTTATTACCTTTTGGTTTACCTCTTTGGGAATGAGACATTTGTACCAGTCGCACTGAGACATTTCAAATGATACCAAACTTATGTAATACTGTATGAAAGTTATTCACATTAAACTGTATAGATTTTTGGGTGAATTTCAGATGATCTCAGCATGATAGAAAGAGGGAATGGGGGGTCAAGGGAAAAAGATGTAGATTAGGATTGCTTAGGTGAGACTTGCGTCTCGAATGGTGGTGAGAACTTCACAAGAGAGAGTTCAAATGTTAATTTCCTTTTTCCTCAGAGAATAGCCCTCTCTTCCAATTTTTCCAGCCTTACACAAGCATACAAGTAAACAAACACAATGCATTCTCATAACCTGACACCAGCTCAGAAGCACCCACAGATATATTTATAATTTGTACAAATAAATGATTAAAATATTTCTTGCTGGCAAAAATAACATGCAAGCATAGTGCACCAAGCCAGAAGCAGTTTAATATACAAAAAACTCAAAAGCTGTTAAAGAATGAAAAGGACATAAGTATGTTTTGTCGTTTTGTCTTTTTGTTGTATAGAAATGTATCGTTTTGTATTACATTTTGCATTACATAGGCTTGGAGCAACATTGAGGTGAGTAAATGATAACATAATGTCAATCTCTAGTATTCTAGTTCTGCTATGATGTATATGTACTGTACTGTATATGTGTTAAACTGGCTTTGTGTTAAACTGGCTTTGTGGTGCAGATGTTGAAGCGTGCTCTGGGTGAGGTTGGAGAGATGTGTGAGCCAGAAGAGGAAGATAAACAGTCTCATCATAGCGACAGCATCATGGAAAGACGCACTCCTAAAAACATAGGTATGTCAGGTCCTTTCACACCACTGCCATCATGTGACAGTACCCCAGATAACTAAACATGCCTGTGTTTCTATCTAGGTTCATGTCATGCTAGAGCTCATGCACACTCATTGTTGGACTCCCCTCCAACTGCACAGCGCTCCTTCCAGCAAGATGCTCTGATCAAAGACCACAGCCAGCTACGGCAAAAGAACACCCAGGTACATCCCACACAAAACACTTTATAATAAGTATACATTAATAAAGTACTTACAAATCATTAACAAACTATTAGTTTATAGTTAATTCATAGTTAATAAATGGTATTTATTAACTATGTTAATAAATTACAATGTTAATATATTAATTGGCTATACAAATAGTGAGTTCTTCATTCATGGTCTCTGTAATTAACACAATTTTGATTGTTTAATTAGCTTGTAGTAAAGGAATTGTCAATTGGTTATTAGGAGTAAATAGTTCTCACTTTAGATTAGGTCACGGAAAATGTCATTAAGTGCTTTAAACCAACCTTTATTAGACATTAATTGCATTCATATTCAGTGTTCCTAAAAATGTTTTTAAATACATGAAGCAGTGTCTATTTGTGTTAGGGATGATAAGATTCACCAATTCGCATCGCTGCATCGCCATAAAAGTATCAAAATCAAAATGTAAGTTTTTTAGCTTTTAGTATGAATATGTTAGCCTTAACCCTTTAGAGCCGGCTGTGTCGTCGCCGACACAGACCAGGAAGCTGTATTCATTGTACCGTAACTCTTCAACCGTTTGCACTATCAAAACCATTCAAATTGCCCCTGACAGTAGACAACATGCGCTTTTCGGCAATATACGGCTTGTTACGGTAATTTCATGCTTTCCGTCAGTAAATGACAGCAGCTTTCTGACAGAGCGGGAAGGAAGGATTTGAACAGAGAGATACGAAGCGCGGCAGGTTAGAGTGTTTTGGATTGCATAAAATAATAAAAGAAACTAACAAATACATGGCGAAAGGAGTGGTAGACAGCAGAAGAGGGGATTGGGATGACTTTTAATGAAACTTGGGAGGCGGATGGCCATTACTCTTTCACGTATATTAGCATGTGGTGTATGCATGTGTATGTGTGCGTGCCTATGAATGGACGCATTTGTATGTGTGCGTATATGAAAAAAGTGTCCTAAATTAAAACTGTGCTACCCAATGTCACAAAAAAGACTTGTATAGATGTATTATACTTCATTTTTCAACTTTAAAGTGTTAGTTTCTTTCGTTCGTGATTTTTCAGTTTTTTTTCTAAATAAAAATCAGAAAATGTATTCTCGTTTTTTTTATTTTTGTCTATTTAAATTCTATTTACAAACTCACCACACACAATAATGGTCAATAACTGTAATTTGTTGAAACCTTATCTTTTTCTGAAAAAGATGACACCTTGCACATGAAGATTGCACATGAAGATAGCACATTGTTTTAGAATTTTACAATAAAAAAATCTAAATATGTGAAAAACACCTATTTTAGCTTCAGGTTCTAAAGGGTTAAGGTTATGAATAAGCTGGTGTGTTCCAAAACAATGACAAAATTAGCATTTAGTAGATGTAAGCATTCAAAACTTAGTCTCTCACTTCCGCTAAAATGGATCACGGATTTTTATGACATCACCACGGACTTCAGCTTCTCATCACATCTTCTGTCCAATCAAATGCTCTCTAGAATCTAAAGTGTCCTGCTCCCTATGCTATAAATACCACCTGGCCAAAGCGACCGTTGTCACGTCATGGAGGAATATGGGTTGGAGATGTGTGATCGGTTGCTCAAATGCTAACTGCTAACTTTTCTAACTGTACATAGGTTAAGAATGAAATGGTTGGAATTTATTCACACCGCTACTATTGAATCCAACGTATCATAAGCGCTCGGATTCGCTTCCATGGTGCTGTCAAGTACGACTTGCAGTCTGTAAGAAAACTAAACTATTGGCTATTTGAAAAGGGGGAGGAGCCATTCAATATGTCCGCCTCAGCTTCCTGTTTCAATGGAAATTACGTCAACGCATCATACTAAGCTGCGCGTTCCAAGGCACTTCAGTGGGCCTTTAATTATGCAATGCATCGATTTAAAAAAGTGTGCATCGAATACAAGTTGGCAAGTTTGGTAAAAAATTATTTATTTATATATAATTATTAGTAGATGCGCTATACTTTTATTATTTAGAAAGTGACCAATAATTTGTGACCAATATTTTATATGTAGATTGATTTCTCCTCCCTAAACTGTTTCTCAAGCGCGTTCTCTCATCACCACTGCTGCTACGTGAATATGACGTTTCACAACACTCCGGAGACCGAGGCGTGTCCTGAGTGTCACATAGAACAGTGGTTTTCAAGTGGCTTGCAGTATTGATTTGGAGAGGAGGGGGGCCTTAGAGTAAAAAAGGTTAATAAAATATAGATTAACATGGCAGAGGTAGAGCTGCATCTTCCACCAAATAATTACAAATCCAATGTTTGGAAACACACAAAGTCAGAAGGCACTTAAGTTAATTTATGATTTGCTGTCTCTCTGAACCAAAGAAATAAAAGAGAACTATCTGTACCATATTGAATAGCAAAGCATCATGTTTTTTCCATTGCATTGAATCGCATTGTTGAATCGAATCGAAATCGTATCGCACTACAGCGTAATGGGGTGAATCGTATCGCATCGCATCAGAAGCTGCTTCGTATGTATCTTATCGTTGGCTATGCATCGAGATGTGTATCGCATCGGCTTCAGTTATGGAGATGCACATCCCAAATATACGTGTGTGTGTGTGTTGTAAAAAATATCGAAATGTATCGATACTGAAATATCCAGGGTGTCCGCGGATCCTTAAAGTCCCCCTGTGGTGAAAATCAAGCTTTTAATGTTGTTTATATGTCTTTATGGGGTTTTTAATATGCTTTATGACAAAACAATGAACAAATGCATAAGTCAACACTAGGGGTGTAACAATATATCGCAATACAAAAATGCAACAAAATGCATCGTGGATAGTGAAAATATGTATCGTGGTTAGTTCACCCAAAATAAAAATTACTGTGACAAAAAATTCTAGTTTCAGAGTTTTAGTGTCATTAAACTACTATATATAATGTTGAATATAATGTATAATAATGCAATGGTGGAATATTTGTGGGTCCTGAGAATGCCAAATGTCTTATGTTACCAGTAAAAAGTGGCCTACATTATTTTAAGTATATGTAGTCAGTAGGGGTGGGAATCTTTTACCATCTCACGATACAATTCGATTCCGATTCTTGAGGCCACGATTCGATTCAAAATCGATTTTCGATTCAAAAAGATTTTCGATTTAAAACGATTCGATTTTATCCATAATGATTTCTAATCGGGTTTCTGATCATGATCTACTCTCATCTGCTTTGCTATACAGAATGACAAACGGAGACCAGTGTTTCCTCTAGGATTTTGTCCAGCTGTTGTGGCAGGCCCATTTCGCCAGGGGGAGTGATATTCCCATTGGCCACGCCCCCTTAGCCCAGGTGTTTAAACCTCCCCTAAGCATTATAACATTATAACATGAAAGGCTCGAATAAGAGCGGCAAAGCGATTATGCGCATCCCGTGCGCAGAATGATGCACTTGAAGCAACGCGAAGTCACAGCGCGCAGCGCTCCGGATTGAAAAGTTCAAAGCACAAAGCGAAGAGATTATATCTGTCTATCTATGCTTAATGTATTATATATATGCAACAGTTTATTGAGCATTTTCTTTTAACAGTTTTAAATTTCAGTTACAGTGCGGATGAAGAACAATTCATAGCGCTCTCCAGTGCTGTAATCTAACAGACACCCGGGAGAAAGGATTATGATTTAGAAAACGCTATAACGCGACGCGCTGTGTGAATGCTGAATGGAGAATGACTGAGGAGAGATGAGTTTCTATTAACTTTAACTAACGACTTAAATATTCATTTTTACCTCACATTATGCTATTGAATGACTTTAGAAGTCTTGGAATATAGTGCGAACACTTTATGGTGCTTTATAATGTTTTTTATGCCTTTAGCTTAACAATAACAATAGTATGCACATTAATATCGGACCTCACTGAGAAGCTGCAGCTGTGGCGGGATTATTTTAGGTGTGGCGGCCCGCCACGGCAGAATGAATGTAGAAGCATCATATTTAGAAGCATCAGAAGCTTCATAGAAGCATCCATATTTGCTTCCTTTGATTTGCCGCTCACGTTCAAAAACCGACTGCGTGCATGACGTCCGGACGTCCCGTATAGGCTATAGTTACAAAAATGGAGGCGAACAACCAGCTGATTTTATTTATTTATTAAATCGATTCTTGGACATTTCAGATCGATTCTGAATCGTTGCAAATGAGAATCTAGATTCATCTGTGAATCGATTTTTTGGCACACCCCTAGTAGTCAGTGACAGATGCAAGCATATTCGTCTAAAATAATTCTGTATTTTCAGCTTCAGAATCATGTATATTTTTATTCTGGGGTCACCATTGTCCTGTGCATTGGGTTACCAGCACCAAGTACAAGCCTATTCATTTCCACCCAATGTAATACCAAATTTAGCATTTTAAGCAACAGTACATTTTTTGTTAACCTTTAACCATATGTCTGGGAGTATAGCAATATCAAATCGTGATATGTATCGAATCATGAAATGAGGGTATTGTTACACCCCTAGTCAACACCATTGCTGAGTATTTTCTCCTTAAATCTGCAGTGAACCAAAGACAGTCTCAAAAACACGGTTTGAAATCGCTGGTGTTTCTGACGTCACAAACTACCTTGTAACCAATCACGTCAACGTGTCACCATCAACGAGTGGATCTCTGAGCTGGTGTGAGTGAGTGGAGGTGGGGCTAATTTGCATATTCATAGAACCATGTACACTCACCGGCCACTTTATTAGGTACCCCATGCTAGTAACGGGTTGGACCCCCTTTTGCTTTCAGAACTGCCTCAATTCTTCGTGGCATAGATTCAACAAGGTGCTGGAAGCATTCCTCAGGGAGTTTGGTCCATATTGACATGATGGCATCACACAGTTGCCGCAGATTTGTCGGCTGCACATCCATGATGCGAATCTCCCGTTCCACCACATCCCAAAGATGCTCTATTGGGTTGAGATCTGGTGACTGTGGAGGCCATTTTAGTACAGTGAACTCATTGTCATGTTCAAGAAACCAAT